ATTTGCAATCTTTGTTTCCCCCGATTTTATCAAACCATGTCACCAAAAATATGGAAATGTAATACATGTGATGTAAGTTACAGGCATTGCTATAACAATTATGCTTTCAACATCTGTATAGAGTTTGTGTTGTATACCTTGACAAGTGAAACATCCAGCTGGTAATCTAAAAGAATGCGTCCTCTAGGATTGCCGTGGCATGCATTATCTATTGAAAACATTTAAATAGAAGCACAATGTATGATACTGAGCAGAAGCAAAATGAGTGTCCAAAGAGCTGTTTTGTTCTGGATTGTTGGGACTTTTGTTATCTGCGAGTGTGCAGAGAAACCCCATATTGTGTTTATCGTAGCTGATGACCTCGGATGGAACGATGTCGGATTCCGGAACCCTCAAATGATCACCCCTAACCTGGACAGACTGGCCAAAGCTGGTGTCATCCTCAACTCATCTTACGTCCAGCCTCTATGCTCGCCTTCCAGAAGTTGTTTCATGTCGGGATATTTCCCTTATCACACTGGTCTACAAGATAGCGTTGTTAAGATAAACGCAGCAAAATTCCTTCCGGCTAACTTAACAACAATGCCACAGAAACTGAAACAACTTGGCTATGATGCTCACATGGTTGGGAAGTGGCATATTGGCTTCTGTAACTGGCGGTATACACCTACAGAGAGAGGCTTTGACTCCTACCTTGGATATTACACTGGTGATGAGGACTATTTTACTCGCATGGCACACAATAAGAATGGTACAGAGGGATTTGATTTTCACTTCAACAAAACTGCCTATAGAGATGACAATGGAACCTATTCTCTGCACATGTGTTTGCCAACAAGGCTGTTGAAATCATTGAAAACCACGACAATAGTAAGCCACTTTATCTATACCTTCCGTTCCAGGCTGTACATTTACCTCTTGAAGTTCCACCAAAATATGAAAACATGTACAAGAACATAGAAACCATAAATAGAAGGATCTATTGTGGAATGGTAACTGCGTTAGACGAAGCTGTAGGAAATATCACGAAGGCATTAGAAGAAAAAGGTCTCATGGACAATCTATTGTTGGTCTTTACAACTGATAATGGTGGCCCTACTTTTGTTGCTGCCAATAACCTGCCCTTACGAGGAGCCAAAAATACTCTCTGGGAAGGGGGAACGAAAGGGACTGGATTCATCTACAGTAAATCCCTTCTCAAGAAGACGGGCTACCTCAACACTGGAATGATGCATGCAGTGGACTGGTACCCGACATTGGTGGAGCTGGCTGGTGGAGAGAACACAGATCCCAACATGGACGGCATCAGTCAGTTCGACATGCTCATCAATGGTGGACCCAGCAAGCGGAAATGAGTTCGTCTACAACATCTATGACATAAAGGATGCAGCTGCCATAAGATACGGAGATCTCAAGCTCATGCAAGGGAGTCCAGGAGATCACAACGGTTGGGCACCTTTGCCACATCTAGGAATAGATGAAGGTTTCTATGAAGCTGATAAGCAAACATTCCCTCCATTCATGCTCTACAACATTACTGCAGATCCAACCGAACACTTCGACCTCTCAACTAAGTATCCTGATCTACTAGACATGATGAAGAAGAGGCTAGAGAACTGGAAGAAATCACGAGTTCCGGCACAAGACAATTCTCCTGATCCTGCAGCTAACCCCAAATACTTCGGTGGTATTTGGAGTCCAGGCTGGTGCTGATATTCAAAATACAAACTGTCTCACGGACGGAAATGGGGCTTCATTTGTATTCAAAAAGAGAAAGCAAATTATACTGTTAATGTTGCCTTACTTGAAATATGTATAAACCGGATAAAATAGGATAACAGAAAAATGATTGGCTTGTCAAATCATTGTTGTCTCAAGTTGGGTTATTCTATTATAGAGGGTCTCGGGAACAGACAGGCGTGACCACAGATACAGTTCATCTTGACAGGACATCAAGTGAAGATTCGTTATCCTGTGTTTCATGTAACAAACTAAATCCAAATTAGAATATATTCAAATTAATTACGCCAGAATGAAATACACTTATCATCAACATTGTTTTGACAGTATTCAGGTATAACACATGTTGTATTTGGGATTACACTTTCTCAGTAAAGTACAGATTCTAGTACTTTTGTTTGCTTGAGTGCCATCCGGGATTCGAACCCTCACTCTGGTCAGGCACCCAATCGCCAGCACAGAAAGTTATGCGCCGTCTAACCCACTCAGCCAGCGCAGTTTCCAAAAAAATGGAAGTCGGACAACTGGTAATCTAGACCACGGGCTTTGTGTACCCGTCTGCTTAGTGTAAATAGCCACGGCTCCCACTGCCCAAAGCTATGAGTACACATTTAGAAAGTGGTCAAATGTAACACATGCTATATTTGGGATTACACTTTCTCAGTAAAGCGAGCCGTGCCAATTTACACTTACACTTACAATGTGCACTAACCTGCATTGACGCATAATGTATACCCCGTCAGCACCAGAAGATAACCAGTCTCGATTATACACATAAACAGATTCCATTGGGTTTAAAAGACAAAAGAAGAGGCGAAATTATTTCAGTGGATCACTTAAAATCTTATAAAATGTTCTGGTTTTCTGTAAGCCGTGGCATGACGTACGCGCAGTTTAGGTTGAAATTAACGTGTTTTCCACAACATTCAGAGGCACGACAATAATTAACCTTTCTTCAAGTTTCAATACCAAGTGTGTGATCTTCAGGTGTCAAAAGCATGCTAAACGTGAGTAAGTTCATTGTGCACAAACTGCAGGTACCACGCAAAATATGTGACATCCAATAAATCCATTGCAACATGTTTATTCAGGCTTTATATGAGCTTTCAAATAACTTTTATTTTATGCAATTTGATGTTATGCACAGTTACTTTTTTCAGTTAGTATACTTCCCCTTTCATGCAGCTACTACAATGCATGCCACTGATGTTTAATTGATTTTAATTTTTACATAACGTAAAACACTGAGATCATTGCACTTTGTCCAACAAGTAAACATCCCAACAAGATGTCCAATGAAAAACGTTACGGTATGCGAAAATGTGTTTGTTAAAGAAGAAATGTAATACAGTGATTCATACGAATATATACATTGGTAGCGTTTTTGGGTAGACTGCACTGTACGGGTCCCCGGAAGTTTACGCTACAGACATGCGCAGAAGCCATATTTACATCGAAGCGAGCACTAACGCTGACGCCATTTTTTGTGTACTCTAGCGATTGACAATATCGCTGTTTTGGCCTATTCAATAGCCGTTGGATACTAATCGATAAAATTTTCTAGCCCTTTGTTCCCCTTCAAAACTGATTTAGGGTTAGTATTATTTTCTGGGTTTGCCAATTGCAATTTTGATTCATATCTTTTATAAGACGCTTAGCATAAAAATACCCCAGTAATGTATTGTTTCGTGTTAGCCCTTGACATTCAATAAGTATTAGTATTATATAATTCCACAATAAAATATATTTTAGCCCTAAGATGCATCAATGTATCATTCATTTTTCATTTTCATTTACAATACTGACTGACTGAGTTTGGTTTTACGCCGCTTTTAGCAATATTCCAGCAACATCACGGCGGGGGACACCAGAAATGGGCTTCACACATTGTACCCATGTGGGGATTCGAACCCGGGTCTTCGGCGTGACGAGCCAACGCTTTAACCACTAGGCTACCCCACCGCCCCTCATTTACAATAAACAAAATAGGAAGTGTATGTGATATCTAGCAGATCATCTCCATTTGTTGTCTCCAGCGTTAGGACAACAAATATCAAAATGCTTCACTTACCACGTACTCTGCTGAGGCATTGAACTCATCTGTAGGCATGTTTTCATTTCCATCTTCATTTTCTTTGTTTTCATTTTCATTATTCGTGGTTTTGAATTAATCATGTGTTTTTGGGGATCAAATACACGGCGGATAAGGTAAAAAATGTAACAAAAGGATCATCGGAACAACGTAACAACTTTTTCATCACAATATACTCAACAAAATAACTATCATGCAATCCTTTCGTAGTTCCATAACCGGTCCGGGACGCTTTCACCGCTCTCCACGTACTCTCAGTTTTATTGGTACACGCACCATTCTCTGCATTCACAAATTCCTTACTATGATTCACTGTCACATGCTCATATCCCATCTCATTCAGTCTGGCATACGCCTTCCAACAATCAGAATGAATTACTGATTCCAGTCGCACCTACTTTCTCAAAAGGGTATCCGCATCACGCTCTACAACTTCCAAAAACATCCTGTTACTTTCCTTCTCGATACCCCCAAACACCCACACACCATCCACTCGCCTTCCTCGATGAAACTTGCGCTTCCCAAACTTACTCTCATCAATCTCCACTTCAATCCCTGGCCCACCTATCATCTCATTCTCCTCTTCCATCACAAACAAACACACATCTCTGCAATAATTAAACCAGTCAACTAAAGTATGATCCGACCCCAGACGCAACTGCTTTTTCACAAAATTCTCTCTCACTTGATAAACCCAATAAAATGTCAATTTCATAAATTTACTAACGGACAAATGATAATTTAAAAAACAAGAATCACGCTTTGCTACAATCTTATAATTGCATTTTTTATTCGAACAACGCCACACATACCCCTCACTCCGACTGGAATCCTTTCGCTTCCCGATACTACCACTGTCAAACCTCACACACTTCCCACTGAAATCTCCAATCAAACGAGCTATATAGAATACATTTCTACTTCCGGGTCGGGGACCCGTAAAGTGCAGCTTTCCCGCGTTTTTGTTCTTATTCCATGCAACGTGATGTATTATGGTTGCTATGATACATAGGTTTTGTAAATACACTTTGTTCCTAACATTTGCATAGATTCTGTGGGGTACGTCTTGACAGGTGAAATATCCAGCTGGTAATCTAAAAGAATGTGTCACCCAGGCACGCCATGATATGTGTTATCTTATAGAAACCTTTAAATAGAAGCACACTGTACCACACTGAGCAGAAGCAAAATGAGTTTCCTAAGAGCTGTATTTATTGTTTTTGCTTTTGTAATATGTGAGTGTGCAGAGAAACCTCACATTGTGTTTATCGTAGCTGATGACCTCGGATGGAACGACGTCGGATTTCGAAACCCTCAAATGATCACTCCTAACCTGGACAGACTGGCAAAAGCGGGAGTCATCCTAAACTCTTCTTACGTCCAGCCTCTATGTTCGCCCTCCAGAAGCTGCTTCATGTCGGGATATTTCCCTTATCACACTGGACTACAAGATAGCGGTATTCCGATAGACGCAGCAAAATTCCTTCCCGCCAATCTAACAACGATCCCACAGAAACTGAAACAACTTGGTTATGATGCTCACATGATTGGAAAGTGGCATTTAGGTTTCTGTAACTGGAAGTATACACCTACAGAGAGAGGCTTTGACTCCTACCTTGGATATTACTCTGGTGATGAAGAATATTATAGTCACATGGCTCTGAATCGTAACGGTACAGAGGGATTTGATTTTCACTTCAACAAGACTGCCTTTCGAGACGACAATGGGATCTACTCTGCAAATGAGTTCACTAATAGGGCTGTTCAAATCATTGAGGGCCATAACAACAGTAAGCCACTTTATCTGTACCTTCCATTCCAGTCTGTACATATACCTCTTGAAGTTCCAGCTAAATATGAAAACATGTACAAGAACATTGAAAACCAAAACAGAAGAATATATTGTGGAATGGCGACTGCGTTAGATGAGGCTGTGGGAAATATCACTAAGGCATTAGAAGACAAAGGTCTCATGGACAATCTATTGGTGGTCTTTACAACAGATAATGGGGGTCCCACATTTGTTGCTGCCAATAACTTGCCTTTACGAGGAGCCAAAAATACTCTCTGGGAAGGGGGAACGAAAGGAACTGGATTCATCTACAGTAAATCTCTTCTCAAGAAGACGGGCTACCTCAACACTGGAATGATGCATGCTGTGGACTGGTACCCGACATTGGTGGAGCTGGCTGGTGGAGAGAACACAGATCCCAACATGGACGGAGTCAGTCAGTACGACATGCTCATCAATGGTGGACCCAGCAAGCGAAATGAGTTCGTCTACAACATCTATGACGAGAGAGAAGCAGCTGCAATCAGGTACGGAGATCTCAAACTCATGCAAGGGAGTCCAGGAGCTCACAGTGGTTGGGCACCTTTGCCACATCTGGGAATAGATGAAGGTGTCTATGAAGCTGATAAGCAAACATTTCCTCCATTCATGCTCTACAACATTACTGCAGATCCAACCGAACACTTCGACCTCTCAGCCAAGTATCCTGATCTACTAGAAATGATGAAGAAGAGGCTAGAGAACTGGAAGAAGTCTCGTGTTCCACCACAGGACACTACCGCTGTGCCTGCAGCGAACCCAAAGTACTTCGGTGGTGTATGGAGTCCTGGGTGGTGTTGATGTCTCACAAAAATACATTTTAATGCATAATAAAATACCAACGGTCACAGCTACTTGTCAAATCGAGTTTCAACTGCATCAAATAAATAATGCTAAAATAGTGAACATAGAAAGATTACAAGAATGGATCAAACATAATTGAATGTAACCCGGATACCTTCCATTACCACAAATGAGTGAGTGATGATGGTTTTACGCCACGTTTTGCAAAATTCCAGCAATATCACGGCGGGGACACCAATGGGTTTCACACATTTTACCCATGTTGGGAATTGAACCCGGGTCTTTGGCTTGACGAGCGAACGCTTTAACCACTAGGCTACCCCACCGCCCCTACCATAAATGAACTTTTGGTCACAGAAATATAGGTATCTTTTTCATAAATATGCATCCACAATATATTATCCATAAATGTCTGAATGAATCCAACAATGCTAGATGTGTAACATCGTTAAAGGCTTCGGGTGGGCTCATGTATTTCCGAGGCTTGAGAAACGGACAACTAGCAAGTGTGAGGATGCGTCATCGTGTCACTCACCTAATGTGCTACCATCAATGTCGCGCAGACATGGACACAAACGTAACGGATTTCATGGAACACATACATCTAACAGTGAACAAAAAACGACAATACATGATAAAGACTCACTGTAATCTGCCACGCCTTTCTGTCCTTCATGATATTTTGGTGCTCTTGAAGTTTAGGATCAAAATATGTGATATAGGCCAGTTATATATCATTTCGATATTCATTAAACTGTAACTAAAATCGACAAAAAACATTTCCATAATTACAATATAGATATGGTACAAAAGAATACGTTGTCTTGACTATCTTCAGAAATAGATTCCCTCTGGTGTAATAGGCAAAATAGCACCGAAAAATAATGGATCGCTGAACATCAGCCATGACCCCAGGTGTTCGCGTGAAAACGTAAATACTGTACTGTCCGAAGCCACACAGTGTTAAATATATCTATTAAAGGCAATGTCCATTCACGTTTCCGACTGTATAATAAGCACATATACTAAGCAGTATGAAAGTGAGCGGGAGTAACTATTTGAGTGGATCACTTAAAATCAGTGATGACACCAAATGTTCTATAAAAGAGTAGGCTTCTATAAAAGAGTAGGCTTGCCAGTCCCTACCAGAAGCACCTTACGCACACAATTTGCTACAATTTCGCACACGTCGTACAACAGCGCTCCTGCCATGCGACGGAGGGTGTCAACAATCCAGACAATCAAGTGTAAAAGTGAAGTGATTCTGATGCTATAATGTACAGAAAAGGTTTAAATGCATGTCAGTTGTTCCCCATGGACAGAGACAGGGTTATGTGGTACAAATCAAAACAGGTCATTATGTTACTTTCTCAATGATGCGTCAAATTTGAATATGTTTCCCTGAAAAGATTGCAGAATCGTGTATGTTCTATTACAATTTGGTGGAAAGAGTATGCTTGACTGCACCTGAGTAGTTGTAAAATGTAATGGCTCGAGTCTGAAGATGCTCGTCTTAGCTGGAGAGTTGACTATTGACTAGTTGAAGTCATCCCACTTGTGTTGCAATCTTAGGGAGTGTCTTTAGTCATTTTGAATCGTTACGCACATATCAAATACTAAATATGAAACGTATGAGGGGATTCATGTGGTCATCCAGTCATACGTTTATCATTTTGGTGGTACTAAAATAATAGTAATTATAAGTGCGTTTTGATAACCCAAGCTGCCTGTGAGGCGTCAGAAGGTTAAAAGTCACATGACTTATCCCTCTGGTACCCATTTTCTGCTGGGTAAACAGAGGCAATTTTGAACAAACTCACATGCCAAAGGTCAAACCACATGTATCACATTTCCTTCTGCACTGATTAGGTCATAATTAGTTTTCTCTTTCAATTGAGGTAGTGAGTTTAGTTTTACGCCGATTTAGCAATATTCCAAATTTGTTTCTGTGTCATCCTGAATGCCACAAAAGGTGTATTTTATCTCTGACCAAAATCCGCTATATTCAACCCAACTTTAGAAACAGTGAAAAGCATTAGAGTGACGTGTAAAAAGATTTACTTTAAAAAGAACAACGATTTTTTGGATAAGTTATTCACATTTGAAACATGGTGTCGTACGTCTTTCCGTGAGCTTCATGTCATTATGAGTTCAGGTTTTCTTAAATGCAAGGTTTTTTTAGAATCAAACATTAAGTTACTCAATTCAACAACACAGTAGCGGTGAAGACGGATGTTTTTACTTAAGCGTTTATGTCAATATATTTCATATTCACTGACTAATTCTAACATTTCTTTGATGGGCTTTTTAGAAGTTGAGTTGATGAAGAATAATGACAATTTTTATGGATATACTTGCTTGGCAACGACATTAGAATCTATGTCGAAACGTCGCCTCCACAGAATAAAAGAAGTTTTATATCCATAATAATTATCATTATGCTTAATCCTAACATCCAATGAATCAGCACATCAGTCAAACCAAAATCAAAATTGTTTTCTGCAAGTACAATGTAGACTGTTCCATTTTGTGCTTCATCAAAAAATGATCGTCTGGAAAGTGTCGATGTAAGCATTCCTTCCAAAGATAAGAATTTAAACTGACAAAAGTAAGGTTAGTCACATGTTATGTTATCTTTGAAACAACCTTATAAACGAATGCGTTTTAAAGCACATGTTAGACACAACATGCATTTGTCATCAGCTATAAGCCTCCTTTTGACCGCAGTTCTCTGTGACTGTGCAGAGAAACCTCACATTGTTTTCATAGTTGCTGATGACCTCGGATGGAACGATGTTGGATTTCGGAACCCTCAAATGATCACACCTAACCTTGACAGACTGGCCACAGCGGGAGTCATCCTCAACTCTTCTTACGTCCAGCCCCTGTGTTCGCCCTCCAGAAACTGCTTCATGTCAGGATATTTCCCTTATCACACTGGACTTCAGGATGGCGTTATTGGGACTGACCAAGCAAAGTTCCTTCCTGCCAATCTAACAACAATCCCACAGAAACTGAAACAACTTGGCTATGATACTCACATGGTTGGGAAGTGGCATCTTGGCTTCTGTAACTGGAAGTATACACCCACAGAGAGAGGCTTTGACTCCTACCTTGGATATTACTCTGGTGCTGAGGACTATTTTACTCACATAAAAGCGCCATCCGATGATGAAGAGGGGCTAGATTTTCGCTACAACAAGAGTGCCTATAGAGATGCCAATGGAACGTATTCTGCATACGTGTTTGCAGACAGAGCTGTTACAATCATTCAGAACCACGATAACAATAAGCCACTTTATATGTACCTTCCATTCCAATCGGTACATGAACCTCTTCAAGTTCCAACTAAATATGAAAACATGTATCAGAACATAGAAACCAAAAACAGAAGGGTATATTGTGGAATGGTGACTGCGTTAGACGAAGCAGTTGGCAATATCACGAAGGCATTAGAAGAAAAAGGGCTTATGGACAATCTATTGTTGGTCTTTACAACCGATAATGGTGGTCCAACATATGATGCTGCTAATAACCTGCCCTTACGAGGAGCCAAAGATACTCTCTGGGAAGGGGGAACGAAAGGAACTGGATTCATCTACAGTAAAAACCTTCTCAAGAAGACGGGCTACCTCAATACTGGAATGATGCATGCTGTGGACTGGTACCCGACATTGGTGGAGCTGGCTGGTGGTGAAAACACAGATCCCGACATGGACGGAGTCAGTCAGTACGACATGCTGATTAATGGTGGACCAAGCAAGCGAAATGAGTTCGTCTACAACATCTATGACCACACTGATGCAGCTGCAATACGGTACGGACATCTTAAGCTCATCCAAGGCAGTCCAGGGATTCACAATGGTTGGGCTCCTTTGCCACATCTGGGAATTGATGAACGTGTTTATGAAGCTGATAACCAAGCGTTCCCTCCCTTCATGCTCTACAACATCACTGCAGATCCAACAGAACACTTTGACCTCTCAGCCAAATACCCTGAGCTTGTGGACATGATGAAGAAGAGGCTGGTGAATTGGAAGAAGTCTAGTGTCCCGGCCCAAAGCACTTCCCCTGTTCCAAAAGCGAACCCCAAATACTATGGGGGTGTTTGGAGTCCTGGGTGGTGTTGACAGAAGCTAGGATGGGATACAAATTAAAAGTGCTCGGCATAGTTATTAAATATCCAAGATAGACTTTTTCGCATTTGATTGTCTGCAATTAGATTCGTATTTCTGATCATTTATTCGGATTTGTTGGTGACACCTTGAAACCAAAATGTAGAAAGTTAGATACAAGTAAAGATGTGTTTCGTCAACAAATTACCAGTTGTCCTGTTTGGTGTAAGGGGTGACTTAAGAAGTGAGACGGTCAGCCTTGCTGACTTTCGCTGATGATTGTGATTTCAGTTACTGACCCACCGTTACTGTCACCGACTTACGAGAATGTGGTGGTTAGACTTACTGACTTGGTTGATGCTCATGATATGAATAACTGGATTGTCTGGTCAAGACTCTAATATTGAAATAGAACCGACAAAACCCTATCCCTTTCTTACGGATGTGGAAAGGGTTTTGTCGCTTCTATTTACAGCTGCATGATGTTGTTTGTAAACAAATCGCGTCCGGACAACTGCCGTCACATAACTGGAATTTGTTGGGTGTGGCTTTAAACAAACAATCAATAAAATGGTAAAACACCCAGTGGGACAGGTCGTCTAAGGCGCTATAATTCGCTGTTAAGAGTTGTCTTCCTGATATGTATGTTTATATCGTAGGAATAAAACCTTACTCACTCACTCACTCACCAGCCACTCTCCAACTCACTCACACACTCACTCGCTTCTATACTACTGGTCTATTGATGTCAAACTCTGTGCAAGCATACACAGGAGCACTAAATAAGTACCATCTGAACCGAAAGGTAAGTGTTTTATTGGTACGAGCAAGCGATCATACCCCGGCATACTAGAATGCACATGTAAAGCACGTGCTTCAAACTATATCTCTACAGCTCTGGGACGCATGTTCACGTGCTGCGAAGCCGCCAAGTATATACGGGTACACTTTTCATAAATGCAATATGCGCACATAAGTGTTCTGAACTGATTTAGAATAACTTTTCTTCACAAGTCAAGACGCGGACTTTCAGAAAATACATGATGGCAGAACAATGGTATAGTATACATGGAGAAGGGATGTCCCATCGCAACATCCTGTCCTGTCAGTGCTTACTTGAACATTTACCACGCAGTTGTTAGTCCACTTGTGAGGAAGCCCTCGGACATCGATAAAGCAGAGGATCCTGAAGACTGGAAAAGACAAATGACCATGATGACCGAGTCCAAATTAATCTCGTAAGACGCAATACAATGACCCATGCCGAAGAACTGCACCGGCAGTGGAGAATGGGAGTGTGACTAAAGTACTGTCGGAAATAGAAAAAAAACTGTTTTTAGGCTGTTACTCTGTATCCCTAAGATTTACACAATTGCAAATAGTATATGTCGCAATAATCCACATCGGCCTAACTTGGCGTCAGTGGGATGCTTAATTGGATATCCAGAAAGCACGTTTACTCGTACAATCGGGCAAAAAATACGTATAGCTGCATGAGATGCATGAGGTACAAGGGTCCATCTCAAAGATATTTGTTCTTTTTCATGTGAGTTGAATATGTCTCATTTAACATCTTGTGTGTCTTTCTTTCATAAGGTTTATGTGAAAGAGTATGATACCCATAGAAAAGCTTAAATCAAACCATCGTATTTTATGTCTCAAAATATATATGTGGCATGACCACCCGAAGATCAACAGGGCCCCGTTCCTCAAAGCGATCGTAGCGCTACGACAGTCGTAAGTCTATGTTAAAGTATGGGAGTTACGATCACCTTAGCGCTACGATCGCTTTGAGGAACGGGGCCCTGGGACTGCATATTTTTTGTAAATTGTTATGACATGCCGTTTACTTCCCCAGTGTAATTCCCCTAAAGGATTATCTCATCTTAGCTGGTATCTCTATCCAGATATCTACCCAGTCCGACCCCAACCACCGTCTGCGACACCCGTCCGGGTTTTGCTTTTGAGACGACCCCTCCTACCGGTTTCTTTTTGTAGTGATAGTCAGACTCCAAAGTAGCTACATCCTTAACAGTTTCAGTATTAAAGTTATCATTGTAACGCCTTTTGTTGACTGTAGTTCTCTCTCTGTGTGTGCAGAGAAGCCTCACATTATATTGATGCTGATGACCTAGGCTGGAACGATGTTGGGTTTCGAAACCCTCAAATGATCACACCTAACCTGGACAGACTGGCCAAAGCGGGAGTCATCCTCAACTCTTCCTATGTCCAGCATTTGTGTTCGCCCTCAAGACACTGCTTCGTGTCAGGATATTTCACATATCACACAGGACTACAAGATGACGTTATTGCAGTAAACGAAGCAAAACACCTACCGGCCAATCTAACAACAATCCCTCAGAAATGAAACAACTTGGCTATGATGCTCACATGGTTGGGAAGTGGCATCTTGGTTTCTGTAACTGGAAGTATACAACCACAGAGAGAGGCTTTGACTCCTATCTTGCATGTTATTGTGGTGCTGAAGGATATTTTAACCACACGATAAGGGGAGGCCATGGTGAAGTAGGACTGGATTTTCGCTATAACAAGACTGTCTATAGAGATGCCAATGGAACCTATTCTGCACACGTGTTTGCAGACAGAGCTATTGAAATCATTCAGAACCACGACAATAGTAAGCCACTTTATCTGTACCTTCCATTCCAGTCTGTACATATACCTCTTGAAGTTCCAGCTAAATATGAAAACATGTACAAGAACATTGAAAACCAAAAGAGAAGAATCTACTGTGGAATGGTGAGTGCTTTAGACGAAGCTGTAGGAAATATCACTCAGGCATCAGAAGAAAAAGGCCTCTTGGACAATCTATTGTTGGTCTTTACAACTGATAATGGGGGTCCCACATTTGTTGCTGTCAATAATCTGCCTTTACGGGGAGCCAAAACTACTCTCTGGGAAGGGGGAACGAAAGGAACTGGATTCATCTACAGTAAAAACCTTCTCAAGAAGACTGGCTACCTCAACACTGGAATGATGCATGCGGTGGACTGGTACCCGACATTGGTGGAGCTGGCTGGTGGAGAGAACACAGATCCCAACATGGACGGAGTCAGTCAGTTCGACATGCTCATCAATGGTGGACCAAGCAAGCGGAATGAGTTCGTCTACAACATCTATGACGAGATTGATGCAGCTGCAATCAGGTACGGAGATCTCAAGCTCATCCAAGGGAGTCCAGGAATTCACAACGGTTGGGCACCTTTGCCACATCTGGGAATTGATGAAGGTGTCTATGAAGCTGATAACCAAACGTTCCCTCCCTTCATGCTATACAACATTACTGCAGATCCAACCGAACACTTCGACCTCTCAGCCAAATACCCTGAGCTTGTGGATATGATGAAGAAAAGACTGGAGAACGGGAAGAAATCCCGTGTCCCGGCCCAGGACCCTTCTGTTGTTCCAAGAGCGAACCCGAAATACTATGGCGGTGTTTGGAGTCCTGGATGGTGCTGAAACAAACTAAGATGGTACACACATTCAATGTGCAAGACATATTTTTGCAACAGATTCTCTGTAAATGCTATTGACATTGACTGCATTTGCCAACCGCAGTGTTTATTTACGAACATTTGGTGCAATATGTATGAAAATAATAAACAAAATAATAATCGATCTATACATTTTAGTCTGGATATTATCTGGTTTTCTTCATCAGGTGAGCATTCCGTGAAGATTCCATAGGATGTAATAAGCGCGTTACTCCCGCAATCAACCACCTTCTCACTCTCATGCACAAACACACTTACTTACTTTTTTCTCGATATCAAAATAGAAGCAAGCGGATTTAAAGAAGATTATATTTTCGTGAGTGAGTGTGGTTTTAACAATTATCGAAAAATGTCACGGCAGGGGACATAAAAAATAGACTTCACAGTTTGTACTCGAAAATCCGGTCTTTGACTCGACGAGCAAATGCTTTAATCCATCGGCTTTCCCACCGTCCCTAGATGTTTTGTTTTAGCAGTTGGCAACTTGTAAGTATTAAGTTGGAGCACGTGTACCTTAGTCATGCAAAGTTTGCATCTCTTAGCTGTCCTTCGATCGATAAGTAGATTTGCCTTTGGTCCTTTATATTAAGAAAATATCCATTCCTTTGGGCTTTACTGTCCCTGACATACCGTGAAGTAGCTTCAATACTGTTCAAACGGGCGGTGTTAAGTTCAACTCACTTTCAAACAGCCTTGTAGAAGAAATAGGAATTAGTGCCCTGGTGTATTGATTGTAATTTTGACAATTGGCCGAAGGGAAAACTGTTTCGAATCTTTGGTGGTGTTAGTGGCAGCTTCTCTTCGCCGTTGGTGTCGCTGTTTAGAACATATATAAGATATCAGTTGAAGATATCAGTGTCCGTGACAACATTAACACTGTACTGTTAGCCATAAAATGTGAAACTAGTCGTAGCCAGGCAACAACACACTCTGCATCACCTTCACTGAAACATTATGAAAGTGAAAACACTTCGGCTACTGAGAAAAAGATTAAATTCCCGGGGTCCAAGTGCCGCCGTCTCCGACCGGGTCCTGAAGCCCATGAAGCCAACGCATCAATGCAAATTGCCTTCTCAGAAACATCACTGAAAAGGATGCGTTCAGACCTATTTGTGTGATTTTTAACGGATTTATATTTTAATGTTTCACATGAACCCATTTTTTTTTTCTCGAGAGCGTGACATGAGTTGTACTGTGATAAATCTCAGGCCAAATACATGAGAGATGGCAGGTATGAAAATATGTTCTAACCAACGTTCATTTATGTTGTATTCTTTCGACATCAAAATCAAATTAAGGAGTTTCTGTATAAACACGTTGCTGAGGGTTATGAGATATTGTAACTGACATATTTAACTAATCACTGATCTGGAACTAACTGTCAACTATCCATTAGTTAATAACTAAATGTCAACATTAAATTCCTGTACAAATGTTACCATTACCTGGTGTACCAATACGTAAGAGGCGACTAACGGGATCGGGTAGTCAGGCTCGCTGACTTGGTTGACACATGTCATCAGTTCCCAATTGCGCAGATCGATGCTCATGCTGTTGATCACTGGATTGTCTGGTCCAGACTCGATTATTTACAGACCGCCGCCATATAGCTGGAATATTGCTGAGTGCGGCGTAAAATTAAACTCTCACACTCACTGGTGTATCAATATACCATTATATTCTCTAATTGTTGTATCGATATTTCATTATTTAATCAGTAACTGCCCAACAAACATCTTTCAGTGCCATCTTTATCGTCATGGCCAGTCGAGACAATAGAACATTCAATAAAAGTGGCATAGCCTTTCAGTAATCATATAAAATATCTGCTGAAAGCAAAGTCAGTTGTACCGATTCCTACTATACTGTAAGGATGGTCCTGAAATTCGCCATCTTGAAGACTAATAGTTAACCAATATGTCCGATATTGCACAAAGCACTTGGTGAAACTTTGGCAAAGCATTCTTCCTCATGTAATTATGTTCCTCAATTCCAAACAGTATCAAAAGCCGCAAAAACCTATAAATTTCAGTTAGATAATTCGGAAGGTTATAAGGAAATAATTCCTTTTCAGTTAGCAGCATACTGTACAAGCTCACGATACTGCTACAGGGGCTGATAATATACTCAGCAGCAAAAAAACATCAGTACGAATTCAAAATTAGATAGGCACTGTAATCAAATCATTACAGAAATTGACATAATAAGCGGATCAAAAATGTTTTTTGTGTACAATATCTTGACACATCAATGAATAACTCAGCACAATTTCAAGACATTACGCGAACGTTTGCAGTCCATTCAGACTCTTGACTTCAGTATCTAGTGTGACCACCACGAGCGGCAATAACTGCAGCACAGCATCTATGCATGGAGTGCACCAATCGATTGATGAAGGCCATTGGTGCCTGGAACCACACTTTGAGAAAGGCATGGCGCAATAAATCGGCTGTGTTCGGCCTTGGTATGACATTATTCAGACTCCTCTGAATTTCATCCCAAAGATGTTCAATTGGGTTTAAATCAGGACCTAAGGGTTAGCCACTGCATAATGTTGACACCGTTCTGCTGTAGGAAGTCCCGTGTAGCTCTGGCAGTATGGGCCCGGGCGTTTTCATGGTGGAAAATGTTGTTCCGGTGCCGTGCGAAATGTGGTATGACGTGGGATCTGAGAGCTTGGTCGATGTAGCGCACCGCTGTGGCGCCGCCTCCTCTCCCCGGACCAAGGTTCTGGAACACCCAAGGACCCACTCTCTGGTTCAGACCTCTTCCACCCATACCATGATGCTGCTTGCACCTCCCCATGAGTCTCTTTCCATAACACATTGGTCTGAGTAACGCTGGCCACGTCGTCGCCATATTCTTGTTCTGTCATCTGCAGTTGATACGCAGTACCGACTCTGATCAGTGAACAGAACAGTTCTCTATTGCCTGTATCACCAGTTATGGTGTTGTAGGGCAAACTGTAGACGTTCACGCCGATGACGTGGGGTGAGGATAGGTCCATGGTAAGCTCTACGGCAATGGAGGTTCCCGCTGTTAAGACGTCGGCGTACTGTATCAGTACTGGCGCGCTGTTTCGGATGCCTGCATGAAGGGATTCTGTACCTGCTGTCGCACAACATGACGGTCTTGTCGTCTTGTGGTAACCCACTCATACTCCATCATGTCCCGTTGCATCGTTAAAAAGGTACATGTTAAAAATTGAACCACCAGAATTCTGCTCTCTGTCAGCTTCCCCGCAAGGCTGTCACTGCTGGTGATCTATGTTTGTACACTTTGAAAAGCTTGGCCACAATCCAGTCCGAAATGATGAAAACAATGTTCCAAGGAATTCCAAGTTAGTCGCATGTACACAAAGCAGCACTGTCACTCTTTGGCCGCATGCCGGGGTAGAGGCACGTCATAAAAATCAACAGTCTTTGATGAGTTACAGGTCGTAGGTCGATCAGAAAATGATCTATTCTTCGATTCTACACGGATCAGATTCGACAGTCAGTAAAGTATTTGCCACTATCACTTCACATTTCAACCTTTCGCAAAATGTAAACACTGGCTCGTCCGCCATTTCAAACTGTTGCGTAACTGTCAACACCTACTTCCAAGAAAATAAGTAGGTCAGACGATTCCATTATAGTGTGGCCAGGGTGATACAGTAACACGGCACACAAAACAATAGGTTGGTTTCGGTCGTGTGGAGTTGGGATTATAAAACACAAGCTCTTAGGTATTACATTATTGCATTGAATAAACAGTAGTTTGTTTTCTTTGGACAGATTTTTTTTTTTCTATGTTGCAATGTCAAAAAGAATACGAACTGCCCCTACCATTCCCATCACAAACGAGTTCAATACGTCTCTCGTTCCATGCCGGATTAGGCAGTGTCTTCCGCAGAACGAAAAGTTCGTTTTTAAATCGGTTATGGTAGAATGGAGATAAAAATACTGTGTTTGGAAATAAGATGAATGTTAGACCGAATTGATAGTCTCTAAATTAATCATTTGAAACCTCACGCTACATGTTCGGCTTCAAATAAAATTTAGAGACTATCAATTCAGTCTAACATTCATCTAATTTCAAACACAGTACGTTTATCTTCTAATTAATTACCTTGCCACGTTTCAAAAGAAGAGTATTACATTTGTCGAGTCTAATTATCATGCCAATATCATTAGAAAAGGATTCAACAAGAAGAACCTGTTCTTTCAAAGTGGTATCTCCTTTGGCAAGGAGCTCGATGTCATCAATGTAAAGGAGATGACTAAGAGGTGTTAGGGATCTGTCCTGAGGAGGTCCAGGATGGTAACCCTCCTCTTAACTGAGCAGAAAGCTCAAAGAATTTAAATACAAAAACAAAAGACTAAAGGAGTCCCCCTGGAATATTCCCCTTCTGATTCGAATAGATTCTGAAGTCTGCACCTGCCCTTGCGAGTACTTCTCAAGTTGAGTCGACCAGCAACTCGTTAAAGACTTGTGTAAATCAAGTAGTCACTCAGGGAGGTCAATACAACAAAGAGGGACAGAGCCATATGGGTTTTTTTTATTCAATCCAGCACATGGAGAGGTTGCGGTGGTATGTTTTACACTCTTCCAAAATCATTTTCTGCACAAGAAGTTGACCCTTGCACCCTTCTGCTCTCTATAAATAATATCATTAGAAGAGCAGTATGATGACACGAGATTTGTCAAACACCCTGTGAAGTGTTTATATCGTGTATTTAAACAGGTTATAGGACGGACGTTTTTAGGATCAGTCAGCCTATTGTGCGAATTTTGCAGAATCCTGGAGGAACATCGCCTGTGTCCATGAGAGAATTGAAACAGTACAGTAATGGTGTTTGGACACATGGGAACAGTTTCCAGTACCGGTTTCGAATGCCATCAGGCCCTGGAGCTGTATTTGATTTGGACCCTCTTGATTACACTTTTCAGGCAATCTAGTGAGATGTAGCAGATAAACGACCAAGCTATGTTCTCGTGCATTGTATACGCATAATCACGGACCCATGGTGCCTCAAGGTTACAGTCGCGGGGTACAGACCACTACTGTTTCCAGAACCTTTCTCTGGCATCCATGGGAGGTCGTTTATCATGTTCACTATCACCTTTTGTTTTGAGTTGCCTGTAAAAGTGGTTTTCATTGATTTTAAAGAATTTTGTTCTTGTTTTCTAATTTTTCCTTTAATTTTGCCTTAAGGGAATTAACATTTAGGAGAAGTACCTTTTCTTTCGTTGTCTTAAATTGTAATTTTAGTTTTCTCCAAATTGACGTTTGCCTTTTAGACACTTGGTTCCCTGACGATCCTATTTTAAGGTACGACTCTGTCCAGGAACTGGTTTTTGCTAGTTTCAGTACTTGTAAGTTTAACCAGAAACCGGTTTTTCTTTGGTCTTTTGTTATTGTCATTAGATACTTTTTCTTGGAAACTGTGTGAAGTTCCTCTAAAGTTCGAGCAGCGGCATAGACACAACAATTCACTTCATGTAGCGAACAGTCCGCAATACGTTTTCATTAAGTAAATCAATTTCATTTTGGGGGAAAAACACGTTTAGTTGTTTAATTGGGCTCCGTTTCTCTAAAAGTAAATCACAAATTTCCTCATAAATAGAGTTAAACAAAATGTAAACAGGGTTCTCAGAAAGATCTGCAACACGAGGAATAAGAAGAATGATAAGCAGAAATTTCGGGGCCAATTAGTTCTGTGCCGGAAGAGTTTGTTTCGAAAAGAGGAACGAGGTTCACGCGGACGTCCATTAAAAGTTTTGGGTCTGCTGCCACTTGGACATTCTGCTCTTGCAAAGGTTCCTGATGGGCACCAGTTGTGGGTTCAACTGGCTCACGGCGCATGTGATTTTTAAGTCGCCGGAGGTGGTCTCAGATATTTTGATCCGACAGGTAAGCATGCATTGGCATGGCATTTTCTCAATGCAGCTTAAGCAACTGACGTGACGTCACTCGTGGAATTCTCTCGTGTTCCCATTTTGTTGAAAACGTCTCCAGAGAGATGAGATGGTGTTTCGATAGACACCAAAATGTTTGGCCACTTCAGTTTGGGCCCTTCCAGTCTCCAGCATATCCACAGCACGTGCTGAATCTCTGTAAGCCGTGGCATGACGTACGTACGTGGCATTAACGTGTTTTCCACAACAATCAGAGGCTGCAGAATAATCAACTGCTCTTCAATCTTCAATATCAGGTGTGTGAACTTCAGGTGTCAAAAAACATGCAAAAACCGAGTAATTTCATTGTGCACACAGTGCGATAGGGGACATCAAATTTCATGCAAAGTGCTTTGCTACATGTGTATTTAGGTGTTTTTTTATCAAGACAAATGTGCACGGACGCACACACGGACGCACTGCCGGACGGAGTGCATTTTAATACCCTCCGCAAAACGCGTTGCGGAGGATATTAAAATGCACTCCGTCCGCCCGTGCGTCCGTGCGTGCGTGCGTCCATGCACATTTGTCTTTCCCGGAGCAGAACTTTTAAACCGTTCAATATTTCTTCACCAAACTTGGCACATAGATTGGTCTGATGGTGTACTGGTGCCTTTTGGTAGTTTTGGATTTAATAATTATATTTTTTGCGTTTCCATGGCAACAAGTTTGACTTTGACTGAAATTGGAGTTGGTGCTCTTTCCGGAGCAGAACTTTAAAACCGTTCAATACTTCTTAATCAAACTTCTCACATAGATAGGTCTGGTGGTGAACTGGTGCCTTTTGGTAGTTTTGGATTTGTAAATAAAATATTTTTTGCGTTTCCATGGCAACAAGTTTGATTTTGATTGAAGTTGGTGTTAGTGCACTTTTCCGGAGAAGAACTTTAAAACCGTTCAATATTTCTTCACCAACGTTGGCACATAGATAGGTCTGGTGGTGAACTGGTGCCAATTGGTAGTTTTGGATTTCTGATCATGATATTTTTTGCGTTTCCATGGCAACAAAGTTGACTTTGAGTGAAATTGGTGTTAGTGCTCTTTTCCGGAGCAGAGCTTTGAAACCGATCATTATTTCTTCACCAGACTTTCGACATAGATAAGTGTGGTGGTGTACTGGAGCCTTTTGGTAGTTTTGGAATTCTGAATAAATTATTTTTGTTTCCATGGCAACAAGTTTGACTTCGACTGAATTTGGTAGTAGTGCTCTTTTCCGGACCTGAACTTAAAACTGTTCACTATTTCTTCACCCAACGTGGCACATAGATTGGCCTTGTGGTGTACTGGTGCCTTTTGGTATGTTTGGTATTCTGAAATAAATATTTTTGGCGTTTCCATGGCAACAAGTTTGACTTAAACTGAATTTGGTGGTTGTGCTCTTTTCTGGAGCAGAACTCTAAAACCATTCAATGTTTCTTCACCAAACATGGCACATACATCTGGTGGTGTACTGGTGCCTTTTGGTAGTTTGGGTATTCTGAATAAAATATTTTTGGCATTTCCATGGCAATAAGTTTGACTGAAATTTGTGGTTGTGTTCTTTTCCGTAGCAGAAATCTAAAACCTTTCAATACTCTCCTTCCACTTTTCTATATACACACCAGAACATTTGACATAATCATAACTCGTAGACATATTCATGAAGAGTATTTTGCCATTGCGGGGTATATTGATGACTTTGTCTTCTTGTTTTCAAATAACTTTTATTTTATGCAATTGCATATTATGTACTGTTACTTTTTTCCCTTAAAAATAGTACATTTTTTTTTAAAAGGAAATGGAAACAGTAGCATGATATGTTGACAACAAACCCTATTCGGTAGAACGAGGGACAACATTGTGCAGAATCGCAAGTCTGACACTGAGAAGAAAGAACATAGGTTTGAAGCTTACTACAATATGGGGTTGATGCGCTACATCCCGATTTCAAATTTTCAACATTAGACTCATAGTGACGAAAAACATTATTTACCAAAGCCTGTTCGTCTCCCTCGCCGCCATCTTTGAGGATATTTATGCTGTTTCGGATGCTATGACTGCCGTTTTGTACGCTCGGCAACCGTTCTCTGGCGCTCTTGTAACTGATACGCGAGTTTGTTTCCATTTCAAACGATTAGTTTCCCATTACAGATGCGTTTGTTTCAGTTTAAGAGGAAATTGTTGCAGTTTTGGAAAATTATTTTCCTATTTTGGTGATTTTTGTTCTGATTTGGTGTTTATGAGTTCAGTTTTGAGGATTTGTTCACCGTTTATATGGCAGGCCTAGGTATGATCATATCTGATTGGGACTTAGGCATCACAAGGCAAAGAATTGACTCGTTTAAATCAAATTCAATCTCGTAACATAAAAAAACATATTCATAGAAACTGGGTTGGCACTTTTGGATAAAAGATTATGCAATATAAAACCTTGTGCTCTACTTGTTTACATAAACTCCAATACGGCGACAATGTCTATAGTTTTCATTCTCAAGGACTAAATTTTAGCATCCAATTATTTGATCATTATGACAATACAAAATTAGACTGTTCTATTTAACACGTTATATAATCATATTTTGGAATGTGCTGGCAAACCTAAAGATAAGAATGCAAGCTGGAAAAGGTAGGGCCAGTCACGAGTTATGTTATCTTTTAAAGAACTCTCATATACGACTACCTTGTGATACACTTGCTTTCATACAGCAATTATGTCAGTAGTGTTTATACATTTCATAAGTTTCATTAAATTTTGACATCAATAATTTGGTGCTTATGAAATACAAAATTAGCTGTGCGTTTATAGGCCATTGCATATACAATCATGACGTTCTAGTTAACGTGTGATATAACCATAGTATGGAATGTGTCGGCGTAGGCATTTCTTCCAATGACACGAATTCGAGCTGATAAAACTAGGGTTAGTCATGAGTTAGGTTATCTTTGAACTCTTTCATACGACTGTATTTCACTGCATACACCAGACACAACATGAATTTCACATCAGCTGTGTGCCTTTTTGTTACTGTAGTTCTCTCTGTGTGTGCAGAGAAACCTCACATTATATTTATAGTTGCTGATGACCTTGGATGGAATGATGTTGGATTCCGGAACCCTCAAATGATCACACCTAACCTGGACAGACTGGCCAAAGCGGGAGTCATCCTCAACTCTTCTTATGTCCAGCCTGTGTGTTCGCCCACAAGAAATTGCTTCATGTCAGGATATTTCCCCTATCATACTGGACTACAAGATGACATTATTGATGTAAATGAAGCGAAACACCTACCGGTCAACCTAACAACAATCCCACAGAAACTGAAACAACTTGGCTATGATACCCACATGGTTGGGAAGTGGCATCTTGGCTTCTGTAACTGGAAGTATACACCCACAGAAAGAGGCTTTGACTCCTTTCTTGGATATTACTCTGGTGCTGAAGGCTATTTTAACCACACGCGAAGGGGAGGACGTGATGAAGTAGGACTGGATTTTCGCTATAACAAGACTGTCAATAGAGACGCCAATAGAACCTGTTCTACACGCGTATTTATGCACAGAGCTATTGAAATCATTCAGAACCACGACAACAGTAAACCACTTTATCTCTATCTTCCATTTCAGTCTGTACATGCACCTCTGGAAGTTCCACCTAAATTTGAAAACATGAACAAGAACATAGAAAACATAAGAAGAAGGATCTATTGTGGAATGGTGAGTATGTTAGACGACGCTGTTGGTAATATCACTGAGGCATTAGAAGAAAAAGGTCTCATGGACAATCTATTGTTGGTCTTTACAACTGATAATGGTGGGCCTACATATACAGCATCTAATAACTTGCCTTTACGCGGCGCCAAAAATACTCTCTGGGAAGGGGGCACAAAAGGAGCTGGATTCATCTACAGTAAAACCCTTCTCAAGAAGACGGGCTACCTCAACACTGGAATGATGCATGCTGTGGACTGGTACCCGACATTGGTGGAGCTGGCTGGTGGAGAGAACGCAGATCCCAACATAGACGGAGTCAGTCAGTATGACATGCTCATCAATGGTGGACCCAGCAAGCGAAATGAATTCGTCTACAACATCTATGATGAAAGGGAAGCAGCTGCTATCAGGTACGGAGATCTCAAGCTCATGCAAGGGAGTCCAGGAGATCACAACGGTTGGGCTCCTTTGCCACATCTGGGAATTGATGAAGGTGTCTATGAAGCTGATAACCAAGTGTTCCCTCCCTTCATGCTCTACAACATTACTGCAGATCCAACGGAACACTTCGACCTCTCAGCCAAGTACCCTGATGTACTGGACATGATGAAGAAGAGGCTGGAGAACTGGAAGAAATCCCGTGTCCCGCCCCAAGACCCTTCTCCTGTGCCAAGAGCGAACCCGAAATACTATGGTGGTGTTTGGAGTCCTGGGTGGTGTTGATCCAAACTGTAACTGGTTACATATCATATATTACAGATTTTGTCTTCACATTTAATTTTCTGTAAAAAGATATTGGAAGAGGTGCAAATTGGTATGCGACTTCATTGGTTATACACAAACATGTCGAATGATCCTTAAAGGATAAATAAAAATAACTATTAAATGTACAGATGTAGTTTACTGAGTCAAGGTATTACGTGCTTTCTCAATTAAGAGCTTCAAGATGAAGGTACGGGCTAGAATTATTCTTCAGCAATCAATGCTTGTTGCACAAAACGAGAAACGGGACTATGTGGTAAGGTAGAGGCATACCTTCCTATCAAGAACGGTGGGTGGACTCTGGCGATAGCAAACACTAGATTGTCTGGTCCAGATCTGATTATTTATCGGTGTCTTGAATATTGCTGGGAGTTAAATAAAGAAAATGCTCGAACATTTGAGGGTCTGCCATTTGAGGGATGCTAAATCTTTTGAATGTGTGTATGAATGATCTCAGCTTCGACATGACTATATTTACGCGCCATTGGTTGAAAACTACTTAGAGCGAAGCAAAACAATTTTTGCACTAATTCACTGAACCATCAACTCAGGAAAAACAACTAAACCAATCACTAACTGCCGCAGATTTCAACAGCTGTGAATTTTGTTTGGAGTAATTATAATTTCAGAACTTAAATTTGTGTAAAGGACACAGCAGCTGTGACAATTATATGAATGGACCATTGAAAATCAGTGATGACACGAGATGTTTGCGAAAAGGGTAAGAATGTTCTGCCTTTCAGGTAGCAATCGCAATTCGTACAGTTTGCCTTAAAATGTAAGTAAGAACACCCCTTTATTTACAGAGTGCCGCGTGACGGCCCTCTGTAAATAAACCAAATAATCAGGTGATCGGTGAGCCTGTAAGTCCAATTGTTATTTTTAATTGTGGCGGCTACGTAGAAGTGCAGAGAAGACATTCCAGTTTGTGTCTGTAATGGACTACATTTGACCAAGAAATGCAGTTTGCTTCCCTTGGCCGTGTGGGATCGAATCTCCTACTGGCCCAGAAAACTCAGAAACATTATCTTCGGTAGTTTATGGACACCATTCGCATGTATTTCCCAAAGTTGTAAACCTCTCAGACATGTTTTACTCAGGGTTTCCTCTCCCTCAAAGCTAAAACATGGTGAAACAATTGAAACAATGTTCACAGGGGCGGCACAGGGCCTGACTCAATGTCTCCAAAACATCTTTTTTTATAAACATATGGACATATGTGCTCCTGTGAATTGTATGCTTGTGGCAGATGTTATATTCCATTGAGTTCAAGTCGCTTACAATATATACAAGTTTCTTTTTGTTTTTTCTCGGGTAGGCGTGTTCCCCATAACATTAACATTGTTATGACCGTATGCACTGTGCCTCTGTGTCTCTTTGAAGTAGAATCTTAATCGTAGCAAAGCAAAGACAAATGCCTTTTCTACCACTCAAAGAATTCAGAGAGTAATTTATGTTTACAGAAGGAAACCTTCAGGATCTTTTTGCACTGTATTGGTCTGTTATTGTACTTTATTTTTTTATAATTTCTGGGTCTGTACTCATGTGCAAGCAGTATTTAGGGAAATGGAATCTAAGTAGCTAAAGTTCTGTCAACAACAAAAAAACTGACAATACATGTTGTTTTCATAAAATAAACTGACGTACAAAAGAAAGTTTTTGGTGTTTTGGGATTATAAGTCACAAACATTGTGCATGTAGAGGCAAAGCAGCACATATATTTATCTAGTGCTCTGTAATATTAACTGAAGAGAATGTGTGTATTTAACCTTGATCAAGACCAATTGCTTCACAAATACTTTATAAACCAACTTTCATTTCAATATTCTGTATTTGGACAACAAACATTTTTCTGTGCAAAGACATAGGAAATAGTTATAAAAATTATGACGGGAGATATCTTTGACAAGCTATTGACAAGTCTATAATTTATAGTCAACATTCAATTTCTGCGCAAATGATGCTATGTGGTGTATCAGTATGCCATTCCATTATTTCATCGAAATGTTTGGTTGTTTAATAAAAGCCGTACGTCATCTTACAGTTACATCTATATAATGATTGTCAGTTGACACAATGGTGCCTATAAATATATGCGACAAACCCTTCCAAAATCGTTGAAAAAAGTTTAAGGAATACCTGTCCAAAGATTTTGATTACTACAAAAGCATGTGTTGTAGAATCCATATGGAAATTATCCCAGGTGCTCATTAAACACCCCTGGCCGTATCCTGGGCCACAAAGCAGTGCAGAAGTTAAAATACACTTTGATTCGCTGGGCCCGGCAATATATTTATTATAAATTATGTGTAACATCAACATATACTGGACTTGGAGGCGAGGAGCCCGTCTTGAGAAACTGGTAGGTAAATATGTCGTTGATTTTTTGACTGCATTGTGGTTTTGGTTTTGGTTTTTAACATATGGCACCCAGCTGTAAAAGTCGTTGGGGTAAATGCGGATCCTTTGAAAACAGCGATTGTGTCAATGGCTTTCATAGTGAAGGTGTAAAACCTGATATCATATCCTTCTAAAGCAATGGCAATACAAAATTAATACTGGGGCTTCTAGCCACGAGATATTCAATCTAGACTGCTCTCTTTAATGCGTGGTGTGGAATGTGTCTATGTAAGCATTCCTTCCGATGATAAGAATACCAGCTGACAAAAATACAGTTATTCGCGAGTCACGTTATCTTTGGAAGAACCCTTATATACGACACTGTTCTGTCGCGCACAGCACATAAACATGAATTACATATCATTTGTGTGCCTTATCGTGACCTCAGTTCTCTGTGAATGTGCAGAGAAACCTCACATTATATTTATTGTCGCCGATGACCTGGGATGGAACGATGTTGGCTATCGGAATCCTCAAATGATCACACCTAACCTGGACAGACTGGCCAAAGCGGGAGTCATCCTCAACTCTTCCTACGTCCAACCTTTGTGTTCACCCTCAAGAAACTGCTTTATGTCGGGGTATTTCCCCTATCACACTGGACTACAGGATGACGTTATTGCCGTAAACGAAGCAAAACACCTACCGGCCAATCTAACAACAATTCCTCAGAAACTGAAACAACTTGGCTATGATGCTCACATGGTTGGGAAGTGGCACCTTGGCTTCTGTAACTGGAAGTATACACCCACAGAGAGAGGCTTTGACTCCTATCTTGGATACTACTCTGGTGCAGAGGAGTATTTTACCCACATCCATCAGAGATCAAGCGAAGTGGGGCTGGATTTTCGCTTTAACAAGACTGTCTATAGAGACGCCAATGGAACGTATTCTGCTAATGTGTTTGCAGACAGAGCTATTGAAATCATTAGAAGTCATGACAACAGTAAGCCACTTTATCTGTACCTTCCATTCCAGTCTGTACATGAACCTCTTGAGGTTCCAGCTAAATATGAAAACATGTACAAGAACATAGAAACCATAAGCAGAAGGGTCTATTGTGGAATGGTGAGTGCGTTAGACGAAGCTGTTGGTAATATCACTCAGGTATTAGAAGAAAACGGTCTCATGGACAATCTACTGTTGGTCTTTACAACAGATAATGGTGGGCCTACATATACAGCATCTAATAACTTGCCTTTACGGGGAGCCAAAAATACTCTCTGGGAAGGTGGGACGAAAGGAACTGGATTCATCTACAGTAAAAACCTTCTGAAGAAGACAGGCTACCTCAACACTGGAATGATGCATGCTGTGGACTGGTACCCGACATTGGTGGAGTTGGCTGGTGGAGAAAACACAGATCCCAACATGGACGGAGTCAGTCAGTACGACATGCTCATCAATGGTGGACCCAGCAAGCGGAATGAGTTCGTCTACAACATCTATGACGACAGGGAAGCAGCAGCTATCAGGTTTGGAGATCTCAAACTCATGCAAGGGAGTCCAGGAGATCACAATGGTTGGGCTCCTTTGCCACATTTGGGAATTGATGAAGGTGTCTATGAAGCTGATAACCAAGTGTTCCCTCCCTTCATGCTCTACAACATTACTGCAGATCCAACCGAACACTTCGACCTCTCAGCCAAGTACCCTGATCTACTGGACATGATGAAGAAGAGGCTGGAGAACTGGAAGAAATCCCGTGTCCCTGCTCAGGACCCTTCTCCTGTTCCAAAAGCGAACCCAAAATACTATGGTGGTGTTTGGAGTCCTGGATGGTGCTAAACAAACTAGGATGGGATACACATTAAAGGTGCAAGGAATATGTTTGCATCAGATTTTCTGTAAATATTTTTGTCATGGGCTGCTTTTGCCAACTGTGGTGTTATTTACGACAATTTGGTGAAATATGTATAAAAATAATAAATAGTGTATCGATCTATACATTTGAGTCTGGATATTATCTGGAGGGTTTTATCAGGTGAACCTTCCGTGAAGATCCCATGAGGTAAGTAAAAGAGACCGAGGCCAATGGGTGATGAATCAGACAGTCAATAAGGTGATAAGACATCCTGTAATGCATGTCATTCAGTCGCCTGTGTCGTATACATTGTTGGAGTTTTGCTAAAAGCACGCTCACTCCCGCAATTAACCATTCACCTACTCACTCTCTCACGCACCTACTTACTGTTGATGTCTGGGTATTAAAATAGAAGCATGCGGATTCAAATAGATTACATTTTCGTGAGTGAGTGTGGTTTTAACAAGTATCCAAAAATATCACGACAGGGGACATCACACTTTGTACTCGAAAACCGGATCTTCGACGTGACGAGGAAACCACTAGACTTTCCCACCGTCCCTTGATATTTTGTGATTTATTTACCAATTGACAACTTGCGTTGACAAGTATTGCGTTTGATGATGTTTACCTTAATCATGCGAAGCTTGCATCCCTTAGTTAAATATACCCTGGAAATTGCCTTTAGGCTTTACTGTCCCTGATATAGCTTCAATACTGTTCAAAAAGATGGCGGTAAGCTCAACTCACTCACTCTGAAACATCCTTGTAATAGAAATAGGAATTAGTGCCCCAGTGAATAGATTGCTATATTGACAGTTGACTGAAAGGAAAACAGTTTCGAACAGTTTAGAGGCTCGTCGTCGTTGGTCATTTACATGTACAAGACATCAATTGAAGAGTTGTGTCCGTGAAACATTAACACTGTACTGCTAGAAGGTGTCATCTTGAAGTAGCCATAAATATAAAGCCATGTCCGTAGCCATGCAACACTTGTACAAGAGTTCAAGCGTGGGTTTATAAATAACAGTCTAAAAGTATATCAAAGATCATTTGAAGTTTCAGGCATGTATCACACAATCTGAAGAAAAATTTACTATCTCGACTAAAACCAATATATTATTATAGAGATGGATGTCGTTAGAAATGTTGCTAAATTGTTACAATTTTACGGCTATGAACGTAAGTTGTTTCAATTAAAACGCGTTAAGAAATGTATGACTTATTGATGCAGTATCCACAGGTCTAAAGGAATGTGGTTCTGCATTAGTTTAACTGTTACTTATAATGTCGGCCGGCAGAAAATTATATTACCATCGGCTGCTGCAATGGTAGCACAAAAGCCCTTGCTTCTGCATTCTAAATAATCTCCAGAGTGTACATCTCAATAAATCTCCACTACTGTAGTACCCTGAATGCATCTAGGCTTCGGCCCGATAATTGTATCACCTTCCTTTGCTGGCTTCGCCTTCTCACAGTAGCCAGTCAGATAAGCCATTACCACCGAGCTTGCCATTGTCAACAAAGATAGCCGCCGCGGCCGCGAAGGCAAATTGACAGGTCTGAAACCCTAGAAAAATATATGCAAGAACTCTTTCTAGCTCTTTCAGGGTAGGAGCTGTGGGGTAGCCTAGTCGTTAAAACGTTCGCTCGTCACGCCGAAGACCCGAGTTCGATTCCCCACATGGGTATAATGTGTGAAGCCCATTTCTGATGTCTCCCGCCCTGATATTGCTTGAATATTGCTAAAAGCGGCGTAAAACAAATCTCACTCACTCACTCTTTCAGGGTACCTCTGCAACAAGTGAGTTATGATAGAAGCCTTGTGATCGGTACGCTCAACTTTCCAGCGTAGACACCTGATTGGATAAAAAGCCATCAAGGTAATAGAAT